CCACTTGCGTGACTTTCTCCGCCTGCACAACGCACACATTATGCCCACTCGTTTTCTTCCCGGCCGTCCACACGCCGTTCTCCGTCGCGAATACCACGCCGTCCTTAATGGAACACGATCCGTTCACTCTATTCGTTGCAGGGAACGTCCCGTCTCCAAGTGGAACCACATCAAACACCTTGACTTTATCCACCCTCGCCTTCTTCTGTGCTTCGATGGCTGTTTCCCATGCGTCCAAGTCGGCCGGGGAGTTGGCCTGTAGGACGACGCTCCAGGGGTAGTCGCCCATGAGGTTTATTGTGAACGTGAACGGGTCTGAAGCACTACGTGCGGCGGGAGTTTGGGATTTAGGAGTGGAGCGGTCGTTTTGGAGGAGCGTGAAGGATCGGCGGACAGTGGCATCTGTTGACGTCGCGTAGGAGGGAACGGTGCGTGGCGAGAGATGAATGAGTTCCAAGGGTAAGGCCTAGTGAATACAGAATTTATGACGAATGGAATTAGAACTTTCCAATTTCACTGAATGCAAACAAGAGACTTCAATGTCCCAACCGAAGATTCCTCTGACTCACCTGTCTGTACACCCGATACAATCCATTTTTATGCTTTGTCAGCAGCACAACGTGATCGAACAAAAACACTGTAAGCTCCACGTCTTCCTGTGCGGGCCGTTTCACAACAAGGGGACCCTTTCGGACAAGTTGCCTCCCCGCCTCTCCCAATTTCAGATCCTCCCACTGACCCTCCCTGAACACCACTTCCTGGCTCAACTTCTCGAGCTTCAACTTATTATCTGCCTCGCCCGCGCGAGCATTCACCGTGACGAGGTAGGCCTTCACGGCATCCACAACAGCGCGAAGCTGAACGACATCGGGGTGATCGTCAGAGGTGCGTTTGAGGATCGCTTCGATGAGCAAAGGGAGTCGCCCTAGGTGAGTCGTCGGTCGAGCGAGGAACGATTGGATGGGTAGGTTACGGCAAAGAGGCTCCCGGTCCTCGCATTCCTGGACAATGAAAGAAAAGCAAGGTAGATGAATCAGTGATGGGCCGGGAGAAAAGGACCGGAAGACGAATCGAATATTCACCTGTAGCCACGCCTCAAACCCGGTGTTCCTCTCTCTTTCAACTTCAAGGGCGTTCTTCGCGTAATGTTGGTTTGACCCGTATTCCACGAAGTGCTTCAAATCCGGCACAGCGTTCTGAAGGACGTCTCCGACACGGTCGACTAGAGGGCGCTCTTTTTGTCGTGCAAGGAGGCGGCGGGAAAGACGGGAGTATGTCTGAGTTGAAGGTGAAGAGTGAAATCAGTACATTTCACAGTCGATGTTAGGGATGCCCCTTTACCTGATAGATCATCCCCACGTTCAAAAAAATCTCTCTAATAACTTGTTCTCTCTTGCTCTGCCCCACTTTGGCGCGCCCGCTTCGAATTCCGGATATGTAAACTGCTTGGACCACTTCAAGATCGTCTACAAACTCCTTGATTCGTAAGACGAGTTCGAAAATTGCTTCTTGGCGCTTGACCTCATCTGCAGGAACGGTGGGAAGAATGTCGGCGGGGATAGTAGAGGTCCAGGTGCGGGGCTTGCAGATGTTAGGTAGTGCAAACAGAAAGAAACACCGGACTGAGTATGTCGGGCCACTCCAAAATCGATGTAATCTCACCTTGATCGCCTCTCCCTCGGCTGCTTTGTCTTCTCCCTTCACTCCCAACGCTTGTGACGCTTTCTCGATCTGTCTCAGTTGCTGAGCAACGCATTTCCAAAGATCCACCATTGAGTCATCATCAAAGCAAAGCAAGGGAGGAAAAAGGGCTTACCTGCTCTAATCTTCTCGGACAAGCCACACTGTAGCATACCCTGTCTCTCGAGCATGTCGGGCTGTAACAGGTTGTCAATAATGTGAATACACCAACGGGTCCATCCCCTCTCCCCAGAGTCAACGACATCCCTTTGCCCTCGTCGTCCCCCTCCCCTCGTAATCCGGTCGAACGGGGAACTCCAGATTCTTTGAACTGGTAAAGCTCCGCTGGATTGTCTCGGAGTCGGTGCAGATAGAGAACATCGTGGAAGAGCTTTTGGGCGTCCAAGGCTCGACCAAGAAGAAGTGCGAGGTTCCGGTCCGTGGTGCGCATGATTGAACACAGTGCATCCTACGTAGATGAAGTTGATTGTGAGAGAATGCCCCATTCGATGTTCCATATGGTACGCGATAACGTCTCGGTTCGGAGACCTCGCTTTCCAGAGCTATACTGGTCTTCACTCAGTCTCATTGACCCTTCCTCCATTTCCAGCTTGCGTATGGCAAAGCCCAACCATTTACTCACCACGGCCTCTCTCCCCGAAAAACTGTCGGCGTACTCCAAGTTATCTCTCGTATTTGTCCCTACGTGTACAGTCGCTCTGAACTCTACAGCCACCTTGCTCAAAATGGCGGGGTATACGAGTTGCTTGCGAACTCGGGGCTGCAGTTGCGGCACAGGAGCGGGAGAAGATGTGGGTATAGGCAGCTCCGTTGCACTGCGCGCCTTTACTATCCCCTGGGGCACGGGGAGTTGTGCCTTTTGGAAGTCTCTTAAGCTCGCGCTGCGTGCGCCCGGGTGGCGCAAACTTGCAGTCCTAGGAGTAAGACCACGTGGAGCACCGTAATCGGTCGGTGCTGGTTTTAGATGGGCAGGAATGGCCGAGGGGGTGTGCGGAAGGATGTGTGCTGGGTCAGAAAGGGTCGATGTCCGGGGTGGGATTGCGACAGGGGGATGTGCAGGAGCGTAGCTGGAGCGTTTCGCGTGGGGATCGACGGAAGGTCCGGATGGAACACTTTGTTTCGTGCGGAAGTCCATCGGGTCACCGTAGGTGCTGCCTATTGGCGCTGTCGAACTTCGTTTGGTCCGCGCGTCTGTAGAGTCTCCTCCTTCCACTGTTCCTATCGTTGAGTTTCTTTTCTTCCTCTGCTCCGCCAGTTCGCTGGTGCGTTCACCTCTTTCCGATCTGTAGTCCGCCCACGAAACCTGGTCACCTGTCCCATCCATCAAACCTCGTCCATGGGATCTCTTGCCCGTCGAATCCATCGAACCTCCATCACCATCACCGGTTTCACCCCATCCGTTATGAGGTCGAGCCGAAGTGAATGATCGATGTATCGCGGCCGGGCGTACCGATGCGAGATTCGGGGCACCAGCGCTGGTCGACTTGGATGAATGGGATCGCTGTGAGAGACCAGGGTACTCGTCCAGTGCAAGCATAGATTTAGGACGCCGAGGGTGGGGGGTGGGCGGTGGTGGGGAAGGCGTTGTCGAAGGTACTGGCGGAGTACTCGCAGTAAATCCGGCAGAGGAGGCCGGACGCGCGAGGGGTGCATGTGGAGGGAACTCGGAGCTTTCTCTTGGTGACGTGTTGTGAGGCTCGGTGATAAGTAGTGTGTCTGGAGTGACCAGGCCGGTGTCCACTGGTGGTGCTGGCACTGAATCCGAGTGCGGGTCCTCTGACGGGCTTGGTGGAGGAAGAGGCTTTGGTCGTCTGAGAGTTCCTTGTCTGCCAAAGTTTGGCCGGGAGCTTATGAGGGGACTTCCCGATGAAGCTGTCGGAGCGGTTGAGGATGACGATGTCGTAATGTCAGATGCAAGAGAGTCCTGCGAGACTTGTCGGCGGTGAATAAGTGCAGGGGGATACATGTCTGCAATAGACGGAAGGCCGGTAACCTCTGATTCGTGGACAGACTGAGACGTTGAAGCTCGAGAAGACTGCCGAGAGTGATCCCGAAGGGGTGGTGGAGAGTTTCCTCGAGAGGATGGGGCGGAGTCCGTAGTCGCAGAGGTGGGGTGGGAAGACTGAGCCAAGTGAGCGAGTGACTTGAGAGATTGGAGGGAGACTCGTTTGGAGTGTGTGCCAGAGGGAACGTGAGAAGATGGGACGACAGGAGACATGAGTTGATCGACCGAATGACGTGTAGCTTGCCCCACAGAATGCTGCGAGAGTTGTGTGTAGGATTGCGTGGGTGATTGTGGTGGCGTTGTCGAAGTGCGACCACGGCGAGGTCTTCTCCCGCTCCCGCTAGTCTTTCCACTCGAACTTCGTCTTCTTTCTCCTACCAGTATCGCCTCTTCTCCTGGCATGGGTTCTCGCTCTGGTGCTCCGTCACCCCCCGCTTCTTGTCCTTCCATCGGATCGTCCTCCCACCCTGTCTTCTCTCCATACCGTTCTCGAGTCCATTCCCCGCCACGACGTACGCTCGCCATCATCCTACTCTGTGTCTTCGTCCTCGCTCACGAATTTCGTTCCCCGGTTGCCGACTCCTTTCCTTGATGATGTCCCTCGGTCGAGTGGGTTTCCTAGTCCTCGTCTTTGGTATGAGCCAGGCGATCCAAGCCCCAAACCACCGGTCTCTTGGTCCTTTCTGCCCTTATTTGGCCTTTCTTTGCCGGTTTCCCGTTTATCGGCTTCCTCGTCGGCCCAGGTCTGACTTGGCGCCTCCTCTGTTTCTGAGTGGCCTCCTCCCTAACGCGCTTTCCCTCGTCTTGGATACAGCTCGTTCCAAAAATATGAGCTCCTCGCCAGCAATATCCAGCGATCCTTCGGAAGCCTCGGCGGTCTCCCGTGCGATATTGATTTCAAGATTGGCCGACACCAACCTTCGATTGCATTATAAACACCGAAATTATCAAAAACAATTCGAAATCAAATGAAAATACCTTTATGAATTGTAGTTTGATCGTCGAAATGTATTTTTAGCCGTTCTTGCACCTATTGATTCCAAGAAAACCAGTTTCACAAAGTCGACCTCGAAAATCACATTTAGGATCAGAAATTTCACGTAAAATGAATGTGGGTCATGTGGATGCTTTATCTATATTCTATAGAGCACCTACCAGCGCTGCGTAGCGGCAGTATTCATCGTCAGAGGCGATCTACTTTGTCGCACCGCGGCGAATATTGTCCTCACGAAGTAAAGAATACAAAAGCAAAATGAAGAATTCGTGCCTCGGGTCAGGCGGGCGACGAAAAATGTGGAGGAGAGGGGATTCGAACCCCTGGCTTTTCGCATGCGAAGCGAACACTCTACCCCTGAGTTACACCCCTACATTTGCTGAACATTAAGCCTAGTATTGTTATTAGAAAAATTATGTTTTGTGTTTACAGGACTGTTCCCCTGATCCCTTCTGCTCCATCTTCATCTCTTTATTTTGCCTGGCTTACACTCAGCTACTGTTGCCCGTCTAATGCAATTCTGCTCCACTTCACCCTCTGCCAGAATGATTACCAAAATCTTGGAGTTCATAAAAAATTGCAAATAACTCAGTTTCTTGAATCCACAATTGGTCAAAGTCAAATTCCAGAGACATCCTCAAAATTGTGATAAAACCACTCTCAGAGATGCTTTGGTGCAGACAATGTCAATCCTGGGGCATTTGGAGCTGAGGATTGCTCTCTGGTCTGCAAGATGGGAAGATTTAAATGCCAGAGTAGAACTAAGACTTGTGAAGAGTTAGTCCACTGGTAAGAGTCTTTGGGTAGGATGTGGCAAAAAGAAGCAACAAGGTATTATCTGGGCGCACCACCTCATCTGGCTTGACCAATACATTATAATTTCCTCTCTCTGAACCAATTGTCCAATTGCACTTCCCCAACTACATGAGTCCCCGAATTTTTTAACCAAAAGCCAGCCTAAGATTTTCACAATGATGTCAAACATGCTTTAAAGACTTGGTCACCCATGGACAGGTTGTGCTGTTATCCTGTGTCAGTTTATATTAACCTTTGCCTTTATACCTCAACTTGGCATGTATTCAAGAGAGATATTACACTTGACCATTAACCACAATCTACACAAAGAGTTCATCATGGAACACACTATCTCTTCATTTTTGCCAATGCTGATCATAAACCCAACCCTGTGGGGGTCTCTCTTTGCCTCCACACTCTGCTCAACTTGTGTCTCTGCAACACTGCTTTGCTTGACTACAAAGCTTGTGGTCAAAACCAGTCTAGTTGACTGTACCCCTGAGGAACACCTTTGGGCACTTGTTGAAACTAAATATTTGCTTTGCCAATATGTTTCAGTGACAATAACAAAATATATCATTAGATTGCCCACCACCAGCTGAAAGCTGCATGGAGAAGTTTGCAATGGAATGGACTTCTGCACAAACCATTTCAACGAGCAGATATAGTCCTTGTAAAAACTCCTGTTTGATAATGGCTGTGAGGAGGACGGCTTCAAAGCAGGACACCGCACAAGATGCGACGGTGAGTTCTTGAGAGGTGTCACTACAATAGTCGAGCGTCTAGTTCATGGCTTGTCTATGTTCTTATTGATCAGACTCCCTCTTCTCCTTCGTCTCTTCGCATGTTCTCCAATCTCCTTCGTAACCCTCTCTTCGTACTTATTTTTGCGTCACCCATGTTGTGTGGGTGGAGTTTCTTTGCACCTCAGTCCTACGTGCCCCAAGCGCTTGCAGATGGGGGATACTCATCAAGCGTGGGAGCTGGGATGGTGGCGGCAATTGGAGGTGTCAACATGATTGGTGGGTCTTGTGGGGTTGTCTTTTGAGGGCTGTAATATGCATAATTCAACGTTTTCAACGCGCCAGGGCGAGTCTTCCAAGGTCACCTTCTCGGAACCCTCAACTCACATCTTTTTGAGCAACCGCATCTGCGCATCACCGGTCTTTCAGCGCTTGTCTTTTGGCTCTCGGGACCAACTCATATTGTCACTGTATCTTTGATGGCATTCTTTTGGGGCTATGCAAATGGCGGGGTGATTGTTGCGCTACCCATTGTGGCAGGGACTTATTTCCCCCCGGAGCACGCGGGTTTGGTCACAGGAGCACTGTTCAGCGGCTTGTGAGTTGTTTACGGCTAGAAGTGACAATTCTGACCGCAAAGTACTTGTAGCTAAAACGCACCACTCCCGTTCAGTTTTATCCCCGACATGGTAGGGCCCATTGTAGCAGGCGCCATTGTGGACGCCTACACACATAAACCACTGATAGTACCTCTACAGAGCCAATTCGAGTGGGAACGTTGTGGCAACCGCTGATTATTTATGTTGGTGCTATGTGGATTTTGGGTGCAATTCTACTGGTTCTCGCGCGTCGACATGTTTTGGGGAACTGGAAAATTCGAGTGAAACTGTGAGTTCAGAGCTGTATAATTTAATTATTGCCCACAAGCAGCATGCCAAACACTTCATAGATGTATAGATACTCTAAACAGTCGACCATTAGAGAGATATGAGTGGCGAGCGAAAAGGGGAAGATTCAGAAAGCTTTCCGATGATGCGAACCAATAACTCACTTACCTCGCACCGTCTTACTTCGCTTTCTTCTCCGCCTGCACTTGCGCCGTATGCAACCCCGTCCAGAACCCGATTCTACCCGCGTCAAAATTCTTCACCGCATCCCTGTCCACCATCTTCTGCTCCACGTCTCCGTCAATAAACTGAAGTAGGCGGCGTCCTCCCTCGGAGGCGGAGTAGGGCTCCCAGTTGGACAGAGGTGTTCCATTTGCGGCGAAGTTCGTCCAGTGCGATAATAGTCCTTTTGCAAGGGGGAGTTCGGAGGGGGTGAGGTGGGCTTTGTGGTTGAAGGTGTACTGTCAAATTAAAGGGCGAATGTTTGAGATAACGTACGTTGCAGTTTGAGGGATTTGAATCTTGTCGAATCTGTAAATCCAACTCACAGGTATATCAACAACGTGGCATGCCTCCAATCCGCGATTCCGAGCGGGCTGAACACTTGCAGAAAACCTGTACCTAAATGCGCCCCGAATGCGTCAACGCGTCATCGTCGAGATCGACTCTCGGACAGCATTCCACGAATCAAGCTCACCCATACACTTTCACCTTCGCCGCGAGGCCCTCCATGGCTAGTCTCGACCCCGGGTGGAACAACAGCTCCGAAAAGTACAGTCCTGCCGCTTTTTTTACCAACTCCTCCGAACCATCTGCGTAAAGAGGCCCGTACACCGCCTTGAGAGGAGTTGCAAGTGCGGGAGGGAAGTGCACTTCGAGACGGGCGGGGGTGTAAGGACCAGTTTGGCCGATGAAGGAGCGCGCGAAGTAGCTGCCCTCTTTTAATAGATCAAGGAGGGGGGGGGGGCGAGGGGGGTGACTGAAGGCGATATCAAATACAAAGGAAAGGAAACATACCTTCATCTGCGTCACCGATTATGACAGATTCAACATTCGGGTTCCACAAGCCTGCCGTCACGGCACCTGCAGTTGTGGCATGCTGTACCAGACCACCTGGGACATCTCCGTCGAAAACTGGCCGCCACGATATGGCTTTACCCAGTCCTGCAGTTGCTTGATATTCCTCCATAATGCGCTCAAGGTCCTCCGTCGGAACTGCTCGGAGTTCAGCGAGTGAGTGAGATCCGGTGACAATTTTCACGTGCGCGAGGAAGGGGGCCAACGCTGAGGGACTTGAAGGGACGACCGTGAATGCGGTGCCAGATTGCATGATGGCGCGGCGGATGGGGAGATGGGGGGCGTAGAGACAGAGGAAGTGGACGGAAACTTTGCCGGATTTCGAGTGTGAGCAAGGAAATAAGACAGCATCTTACCAAAGAAATCAAAAGGCAGTCTACTCACTTGCTCCTGCACTTTCTCCGTAGAGAGTGATCCTCTCTGGGTCGCCTCCAAATGCGGCGATGTTATTAGCCACCCATTCCACGGCGGCAATCTGATCCAGGAGGCCTAAATAGCGCAGACAGAAGAAAATAACGTCAACTTTGTGGGGGGCTGCTGGGCAATTTGTCCTCACCATAATTTCCGTAGCTAGTTCCATTTGATTTCGCCTCGTCCCTCAATTCTTCAGAGGCGAAGAAGCCGAAAACACCTAGTCAAAAGAAAGCCGAGTGAATGAATATATGCCTCGAATCATGTGGGATACCCGAATATGGAGAAACTGCACCCACCAAGGCGATAGTTGACAGTCACCACACAGACATCGTAGTCTTCCACGAACGAATCTGCCCTGTAAACAGGCGTGGAGTTGCTACCAATAGTAAACGATCCTCCGTGTATCCAGACCATGACGGGAAGCTTTGCATTATCGCCCAATCGTGAGGAGGGAGGTGTGTAGACATTGAGGTACAGGCAGTCCTCAGAGAAGGGCTGAGTCTCGGGGCCGAAGGGCGCTTCACCGTCCAGAATTAGTCGCTTTGGTTGAGGGCAAACGTTCCCGTATCTGGATCGTCGCCGTCACCGTCGTCGGGAGCAAATGAGCCGACCTTGCCGATCTTTCAGCGTTTGAGCGAACACTCACTCGGTCGCGTCCCTCACACCTTCCCATGGAGTTGGAGGAGTGGGCGGCTTCCACCGTTGCGGGGGATCAGCGACTGCAAGTGCTTTTTCAGTGAACCACGAACACTTCGCCTTTTGTCGCAATCACTCACACGGTACGTTCAAGAACTTCCTGCATCTCGACGATTCCGATCCGCACAATGTTCCCTGTGCCGTCACTACCATTGGCGATGGAATCACTGTCATCTTTGAACAGGCTTGGGGAATGATAGATTTTTAAAGCCGTGGTCAGTTTCGAGAACACTTCTCCCTCCAATCTTGGAAAACGCAGCTGGTCCGGTCCTCTCACCATTTCAATCGACATCGTATATGGCGCGCAGAATCGTTCTCTGTCCCCCGATCTCTAAGTACCTTCGATATTTCTTCCAACAACCACCAACAGCAAACGTCCCCTCGCCGATGCCAGACTTGTTGTCACCTCGCTCTGGGGGGGAGGGGGGGGGGAGGAAATGGGTGGCCTCCCGAAATCTTGGACATCACGGGAAACACAGTTCGCGGGGAGGACGCAGGGCTCGACTGGAGCCAAAAATTTCAACTCTCTAAATCGATAGAATTCGTCGCGGGGAGCTCCAACTCTTCCCGCGGGCTTCACGGGCAGAAGTGTTGGTGCCAACTTTATCAATTGGGCGAGCATCAACTCTATCTGGTTCGCGCCCGGCCTCCGCTTCTCCTGGGTTGGGTATAAGCCCTGTTTAGGGTGGCAGTGGAACGGGCTCAAGAAGCAAAACACTCCGTGAGCTTCTCCTTCAACGAGATCGTCGCTGCGTCGTTA